CCTACCAACTCTACACGGTCATAGGCGCGGTCGCCCCCAAGCCGAAGGGAGGCGACAGGATCCTGGGGATGCTCCCGTACACGATGAAGGTTTGGTCCAAGCTCCGTTACCCGCTGAGCGAGAGGTGGAGCGACGAGCTTGGCGAGTTCTGGGACACGGCCATCAAGGGGAGCAGCCCGCTACAAGCCTCACTGGCGAGGGCCTGCATGGACGAGCGCTGCTTCACCATGGGCATCAGCTGCGCGACCATCCTTTTAGATTTGGAGAAGTTCTACGACAGCATCTCCATCACAAAGCTCTGCCAGGCCGGCCTGAGGCAGGGCGTCCCTGCAGTTATCCTCGCGATGGAGCTGCAGATGTTCCTCGCCCCGCGGTACTTGTAGGAGCGCTAGTGGATCAGCAGGTCGATCACGATCGGGAAGTCGCTGGTGGCTGGATCCCCCCACGGCGGCAAGCTTGCGAAGGTTCTCCTGGGCCCCATCCTCCAGCGCGCCCACGACAAGTACCAGTTCAGCATCATGATGAAGACGTTCGTAGACGACACGATCATCCGCAGCGAGGGCACGGCCAGCAACGTGGAGACCACCCTGGCCCAAGCTGGCACCTCCATCGGCCACGACATGCAGCTCGAGGGCCTCACGATCAGCCCCAAGACAGTCGTGGTCGCCAGCACGAGCAGCATCGCCAACAGAGTGGCGCGAGCACTTCGGGGAAAAGGCATTCGGGCCACCTCCGCCCAGGCTGCCACGGACTTGGGGGCCGACGTCGCCTCAGGACGGGCTCGCGCCAGGGCCACAGCCCGCAGGCGAATGGTGAAGGCTAGCAGGCGCTCCGCAGCCATTCACAGAATCAGGAGAATAGCCCGATTAAAGAGAGAATCGCAAGGTCTCTGGAGGACGGGTGCCATGCCGTCTGGGACCTACTCACACCAGCACCACGGGCTTCCTGAATACGAAGTGCTACGCCTCCGACGTCAAGCTGCTGCAGCCGCCTCCGGAGTGGGACCAGGGAGATGCTTGACGACTGCCCTGGCCATCGAGTATGGCGACGACGACCCCGCTAAGAGTACCAGGCGGCAGCAGATAGCAGCGTGGTTGACCATGTGGCGCCAGTGCCCAGGCATCCACGACAGGATTCGGCAATCCTGGGACAAGATCCTCGGCCGCATAAGAAAGGCGGGCCAGCGCAAGTGGAGGATCGTCCGAGGCCCAGTGGGAGCCACCATAGCCACGCTCCTCGAGATAAACTGGGACCCGATCTCGGCGACTCAGTGGGACACGGACGCTGGCAAGAGTTGGCTGATCCCAGCCAGGGAGGACGAGGACTTCAAGAAGCTGAACGCGGACTACTCGGAGATCTTCAGCGACATCAACAGCTCAATGGACAGAATTCTCTGGACTCGGGCTTCGAGACATGAAGCAGGTGACGACCTGCATAGCGGAGGAGACTTCAGCATGATAAAGCAGGAGCACCGCCGTTTCGCCAACAAGGAGCAGTACAGCGAGATTGCGCTCAACACGGTGGTCACGACGGGCGGCCAGTGGACACGTACACTGATGGCTGCCGCAGGGTACGAAGTTTCCCCTACTTGCCCGAGATGTGGAGATCAAGTTGAATCTATTTTCCACAGAATATGGACGTGCGCAGCCAACTGCGACCACGACGACTACACGGACAGCGACTTCCTCATCGCACAGGCGGTCGCGAACTACGAGGCCTCCCCGTCCTTCTGGCTCCGCGGCGTCCCCGCGGCAGCGGACACTATACCCGTCTTCGACGAGATCCCACCCATCGCGGACAGCTTCGGGGACATCTCGAGGATCCCACGTGACGAGGAGGGATTCGCTGAGGTTTTCGGAGACGGGTCGGGCGGTAAGCATAGCAGTGATTGACGCCGCAGACGCGCTGGCTTAGGTTTCGTTTCTCTGGCCCCAGGTGCTCTTGACCCCATCGTTGGTTTTTCGTCTTCCCTGGAAGGGCGGGTCCAGACGGTCCCGAGGGCCGAGCTCTCTGCTTTTCTCGCCGCCCTGGAACGAATCCCAGGGAAGATCCGATATATGACGGACCACCTGGCCCTGGCCCAGGTCTGGTCCAAAGGTGTCTCGCTCCACCTCGCTTCCTCGACCCCTCCCGCGAACGTCGACCTTTGGACCAGGATCCTGGAGGCTGCGGGAGATAGAGTCATTCGAGTAGTGTGGATCCCTGCCCACGTTGAGGCCAGGGACGTGAATACCGAGGAGGCCCTTCGCAACGCCGTAGGCAATGCGTGTGCTGACATACTCGCGGGCCTAGGAGCCCAGGCGAGCCAACAGTGTCGTCTCACGAATCCCGACACCGACCGCCGCGATGCCGAGGCCGCCCTGGTCAGACGACGCGCGCGGAGAGCTCTTGTCGCGAGTATCCAAGCCGATCCCTGGACCGCGACTCGGCCCGAGGCCCCTGTGGCCCAGCGTCTGCCCATCCTGACCAGGATAATGCGAGCCAGCGAGCACCAGTGGCGGAAGGTTGGCGCGAAGTATTTCTGCACGGTTTGCTCCCAGTTCGAAACCAGGGAGTCAATTCGAGAGGGGTGCCAGTCAAGGTGCTGCCCCAAGCCCCAGGGCCAGGGCATCTCACCGCTTCGCGGCCCCCAGATTGTTTCGGGCAAGCTTTTGTGTTCGAGCCACAAGCTCTCTTTCTGGGGCCGCTTTGGTTTAACGTTTTGCACGGCGTGTGGCAAAACTGCCACGTCCGACCCAAGGTGGTTGGTTGACAGATGCAGAGCCTCCCCCAAAGGTGCCCAAAACCTCGCGAGGAGCGCCCGAGGTTTGTATCCGCACGTGGGGGGGCCCCCGCAGCACGTTCGGGACGCCGAGAATTCAATATACGTCCAGTACCTCGTCTGGCTTTGATCCCTGTTTTTATGGGGGCTCTGCAGGTGGCGTAGATGGCAAAGTGATGCGACGCCCTTCGGGAGGCCAGTAAAAGATCACGAGCGCCATCCTGCAGGGCTCCCCGAGACCCAGCGGTGTCGACTGTCGTTGTCGCTCGTCATGCATAGTCCTGCATAGTCCTCCTCCTCCCCCTCCCCCTCCCCCTCCCCCTCCCCCTCCTCCTCCTCCTCCTCCTCCTCCTCCTCCTCCTCCTCCTCCTCCTCCTCCTCCTCCTCCTCCTCCTCCTCCTCCTCCTCCTCCTCCTCCTCCTCCTCCTCCTCCTCCCCCTCCTCCTCCTCCTTCCCCCTCCTCCTCCTCTGGGGGGCAGGCCGTGGCCCGTCGCCGCGGGGCCAAACTTGTGGCGCCTGCCTGGGCCACACAGAGGAGCACGCGGCGTCGATCACAAGGGAGGCATCGGCGCCCCCGAGGCGGGCTTCGGGTGCCGATAGACTTCCCTGAGGCTCGGGCGTTGAAATTTGTTCACGACGGGCGTTTTCGCCCGGCTCTGGGCCCCAGGGCCCTCACAGATCGATCCAGCTCGAAAAATTATGCAGTAAGATGGGGTTGGAGGATCCGAGCGTGATATGTTTCCCGATACTGCATTTTGTCCAACGTCCACTTTCAGGGTTCAGCATGCTGCACACAGAGGGAAAGCCTCACTCCTGCCCGCGTCAGCGAGGGGGCACAGTTCATCTTTGTGCTATGAAAGAGAAACAAGCGTTCGAACCTATAGGGAGGGGGGATGGGAGGGGCAAGGCGATGAAGGCGCCATTGGTATGGGTGCGAGTTTTCGGATCCCGAGGGGGGGCTCCCCTTCGAGCGGGGACCCCTATCCGACAACACACACACACAAACAAACAAACAAACATCTGTAGCCCCCCACTTGCCCAGAATTCCACCCCGAGAAATCTGGGGATCACATAGGTCAGCTCATGAACGTCGCCGTTTGGCTCTCGATCCTTCCGCGCCTCCCGCGCCGCGCGCGGACGGAACGCTCGCACCTCCAGTGGAGCCAGGCCGCGCTGGGCTCAGGCCGGCGCCCGCGGGTTCCCGGCCGCTGCGCTGCTGCTGGCGCACCGCCTCAGCATGATGGTTCCGGCGTCGGGCAGAGGCACGCGCCGCAGGCAGGCCACCTCGCGGGCCGCGTCCGCCGCGCGGTGCGCCGGCGCCGCCGCGCCGCCCGACGGGTGCTGCGCGCCCGCGCGGCGCGGCGCGGAGGGGCCCGTCGGCTGAGCCGCGTGGGCCCCGCCCGCCGCTCCAGTGGGCGGGGCGGGGCGGGGCCGGGGCGGAACTGGGGCAGGCCGGGGCGGGGCGCGGGGCGTCGGCGCCGCGGCAGTGCGCCGCGGCGGGGCGCGCCACGCGTGCCGCCTCGGGCGCGGCAGTCGGCGGCGGCGGCCCCTGGCCCTGGCCGCACGGGGCGGCCGAGCGCGGTGGCTGCTCCGAGCCCCCGCGCGGCGCGGCGGGCGGAGCGGGCCCTGGCCCACCGAGGAGCCCGAGGGCGCTCCGAGCGTCGGGGCCTGGGGAGGGCCGCCCCGCCTGCTGCTGCTGCTGCTGCTGCTGCTGCTGCTGCTGCTGCTGCTGCTGCTGCTGCTGCTGCCCGAGAGCGCGCGGCGGGGCGGGGGCCGAGGGCGCCGGCCGCTGCGCCCCGTGGTAGCTGCCGGTCGGGGCCAGCTCGGCGGGCAGGTCCTCGTGGCGGCTCGGGGCGGCACCGTCGGCGCTCGTGCCGGAAGACGCCCCGAGCCCGTCCCGGTGGGCCCTCCGCGGGCCCCGCGCTGGTGCCGAGGTCCTGGCCTCGGCAGTCGCCACTGCGGCGGTCGCGGCGGCCGACTCGGCCGACTCGGCTGGCTGGGCGGCGCTGGCGTCTGGGGGCGCGTGCGCCGCCGGCAGAGGGGCGCCCTGGAGCGCGGGGAGCCTGGCCAGGAGAGAGACGCTCAAATCCAGAACCATGCCCTCGCATTCTGGACACCGAGGCGCGATCCCATGGATATGTTTCGAGGGGGCATCCGCACAAAGTCGCCCTGTACCTATCCATGGAGTCGCAACCGAGAAGTCCAGACGTGGATTATGGATATGCTTGCCGCCCACGACCTGAGGGCCCGCGAGTGGACAGGCCTGGACTCCGCAAGCGCCAGGCCCAGCGGCGCGGCAACTGTTTGCGCGCTGCTGCTGCCGCGACCTACAGCAGCCCGCCTTGCTGGATCCCCCGAAGCGGAGGGGTCGATGCCTAAACCCTCGTGTGGGACAGGCTGCCTAGCAGACCCCTTCCCCAAGGCCAGGCTGTCCGGCAAGCCCACCTCCTCGCAGGATGTGGAGCTGCTCGCCGAGCGCGCACTTTCCTGCTGCTCCTGCTCCTTGGAGGCATGCTTGGCTCGCGAGCACACCTGCTCGCAGGATGCGGAGCTGCTCGCCGAGCGCGCACTTTCCAGCTGCTGCTGCTGATGCTGCTGCTGCTGCTGCTGCTGCTGCTGCTGCTGCTGCTGTTGCTCCTGCTGCTCCTCCGAGGCCAGGCTGGCTCGCGAGATCACCTCCTCGCAGGATGCGGAGCTGCTTCGCGAGCGCGCACTCTCCTGCTGCTCCTGCTCCTTGGAGGCATGCTTGGCTCGCGAGCACACCTGCTCGCAGGATGCGGAGCTGCTCGCCGAGCGCGCACTTTCCTGCTGCTGCTGCTGCTGCTGTTGCTCCTGCTGCTCCTTCGAGGCCAGGCTGGCTCGCGAGGTCACCTCCTCGCAGGAAGCAGAGCTGCTTCGCGAGCGCGCACTCTCCTGCTGCTCCGTCTCCTTGGGGGCATGCCTGGCTCGCGAGCACACCTTCTCGCAGGATGCGGAGCTGTACGACGAGGACGTCATCTCCTGCTGCTGCTGCTGCTGCTGCTGCTGCTGCTGCTGCTGCTGCTGCTGTCGCGAGATCACCTCCTCGCAGGATGCAGAGCTGCTTCGCGAGCGCGCACTCTCCTGCTGCTGCTGCATCGAGGCAAGGCTGGCTCGCGAGTCCACCTCCTCGCAGGATGCGGAGCTGCACGACGGGGACGCCATCTCCTGCTGCTGCTGCTCCTCCTCCTCCTCCTCCTCCGCCTCCTTCTCCTCCTCTTCCTCGCTGCTCCTCCTCCTCCTCCTCCTCCGCCTCCTTCTCCTCCTCTTCCTCCTCCTCCTCCTCCTCCTCCTCCTCCTCCTCCTCCTCCTCCTCCTCCTCCTCCTCCTCATCATCTCATCATCATCATCATCATCATCATCATCATCATCATCATCATCATCATCATCATCATCATCATCATCATCATCATCATCATCCCTCTCATCCTCTTCCTCCTCCTCCTCCTCCTCCTCATCCCTCTCATCATCTTGCTCCTCTTGCTCCTCCTGCTCCTCATCCTCCTCCTCCTGGCCGTCCTTCTGGTCGTCCTCCCTGCGGCACTCGACGCCAGCGCCGCAGGGCAGCGGGCCCGCGGCCTCGGCCGGCCACACCGAGACAGCGTGCGGGCAGAAGTCTGCAGCCTCGCTCCCGCGCAAGACACCAGAGACACCGGCGGGCTCCGCGCTCCCGCCTGCGTCGTCTTGCGGGTGCGGGATCACCACCAGCGAGGTGCTCGCCTGCTCTGGCTGCCAAGTGTCCAGAGGACAGCCCGGCCCCAATGCCTCGCTCCCGCCTGCGTTGCCTTGCGGGAGCGGGATCACCACCAGCGACGTGCTCGCTCGCCCTGGCTGCCCAGTGCCCGCCTCGCCCCGCTCGGCGCGGCTGGCGCCGTCCTTCAGAAGTGCGCCGTCGGGGTGCACTGCGCCGCGACCTCTGCCACATCTCTTGCGGAGCAAGCAGCACCCTGCCCCGCAGCACATGCAGCAAGCTGACCCCGCAGCAATCCGGGCCAGCGCCGACAAGGCCATTCCGCCCTGGGAGGCCGCGCCTGACGTCGCTGTCGAAGTGCTCGCTGCTGTGGAGCTGGTGGCCGTCTCAGAGGTGGTGATGGTGATGGTGCTAGAGGTCCGCGTCAAAACGCTTGCTGACGTGGAGGTCATAGCTGGCATGGGGGCGGCAACCGGGCTGCCCGTCGGGCCCGGTGTCGTGATGGCGCTTGCCGTCTCCGTGGCGGGACCTCCTGTCACCGTCTCAGAGGTGGTGATGGTGATGGTGCTAGAGGTCCGCGTCAAAACGCTTGCTGACGTGGAGGTCATAGCTGGCATGGGGGCGGCAACCGGGCTGCCCGTCGGGCCCGGTGTCGTGATGGCGCTTGCCGTCTCCGTGGCGGGACCTCCTGTCACGGTGGTGGAGCTCGTGGCGGTCTTCGTTGTTGCGGCTGCCGTCTTCGTGGTGGAGCCTGCAGTCGTGGAGGAGCCCGTGGCCGTCACCGTGGTGACGAAGCCTGCGGCGGTCTTCGTGGCGGTCGCTGTGGTGGCGGTTGCCGCCTCCGTGGCGGAGCTTGCACCCGTGGAGGAGCTCGTTGTCGTCTCTTGGGCACTCTTTGTGACAGCGGTTGCCGTCTGCGTGGTGGAACCTGTCGTTGTAGAGCTCATGGCGGTCGTCGTGGTGAAGCTCGTGGCGGTCGTCGTGTCGGACTCTGTGATGACGGTTGTCGTTTCATTGGCAAGCATGGCTGCTGCTGAGCTGCTGGAGTCGGTTTTCATACTAGCAGTGGAGCTGCTAGAGTCCATCGTTGCGCTCACCATAGTTTTGCGTGTGTCGGTCATGGTGGTGACTGTGGGGCTGCTTCTTGTGCTAGTCGTGTTGCTCACTGTGGTGCTGCTTGTGTCAGTCGTGTTGCTCATTGTGGAGCTGCTGGAACTTGTCGTGGTGCTCACCGTGGAGCGGCTCAAGTCGGTCGCGGTGCTCACCGTGGAGCGGCTGGAGTCCGTTGTGGTACTCAACGCGGTGCTGCTCTCTGTGTTGGTCGTGGTGCTCGCTATGGTGGTGCTTGTGTCGGACCTGCTCGAGCTCGTTGTGCTCACCGTAGCGCTGCTGGAGTCCGTCGTGGTGCTCACCGTGGTGCTGCTTGTGTCGGTCATGGTGCTCACAGTGGTGCTGATTATGCTGGTCGTGTTGCTCACTGTGGAGCTGCTCGAGTCGGTTGTGCTCACCGCAGTGGTGCTGGAGTCCGTTGTGGTGCTCACCGTGGTGCTGCTTGTGTCGGTCATGCTGCTCACAGTGGTGCTGATTGTGCTGGTCGTGCTGCTCACTGTGGAGCTGCTCGAATCGGTTGTGCTCACCGTAGTGGTGCTGGAGTCCGTCGTGATGCTCACCGTGGTGTTGCTTGTGTCAGTCATGGTGCTCACAGTGATGCTGAGTGTGCTGGTCGTGTTGCTCACTGTGGAGCTGCTCGAGTCTGTTGTGCTCACTGTAGTGGTGCTGGAATCCGGCGTGCTACTCACCGTGGTGCTGCGAGTGTCGCTCAGGGTGCTCACGGTGGTGCTGCTTGTTGTGCCAGTCGTGTTGCTCACTGTGATGCTGCTTGTGTCGGTTGTGCTGCTCACCGTGCTATCGCTAGAATCGGTCGCGGTGCTCATGCTGACTGTGGTGATGCTGGAGCCCGTCGTGCTGGTGAAGCTCATAGCAGACAAGGTGGTGGATGCCACGGGAGCGGACGTCGGGCTGGATGTCAGACAGCTGGTCGGGCTGGACGTTGGTGCCGAACCATGAGGGACAACAGCAAATGTGCTTCCACTGACGGTATTCGTCGAAGAGCCCGTGCATTGGGACGCATCGCAGCTGATAATGTGAGACGGCGTCCACACACTGTATTGCATGCCGTAGAAGTATACGTCGTCACCGGCGCAGATTTGGGTGCCATCGCTGACTGCTGAACCCGCAGATAGTTTGATAATGCGGTAAGGGGTCCCCCACCATCCGGCTGGCGGCGGATAAGGCTGGTGCGAGCACGCACCCCAAGCACAGTCATACACTTGTCCTGACAACTTGCTCACCCACGCCACCACGTCTCCCGAAACGATCGCACCGCAGGTTGCTGTCCAGGCGCTGGAGTTACCCAGACAGGCAGCCGCGTCTGATCCCGAGCACTTGCCCAAATTCCACACCTGCGGATCGGCAGCCGTTCCCACGTGCTCCGATTCTGGGTCGAGTCCTGAGCCTGGGGGGGAGGGCAGAGAGGACCGATACCGCCGCTCCCCGGACATCTGGAAGGGCGCGCTGTGGCCAAGATTTCGAGCTGAATCCACCCGTTGCGACGAGGGCCTCCCGGGAGGCCCAACAAAAAACGAAAACGAGGCAAGGGCGACGGTATCGGCACGTACGTTGTGAGCGTTTTTTTCCCAACCCTCCTGCGTTGGGTTCTCGTTTTGAATAGAGCACTGCTCGCGCGAACCTTCTTTCATTCCTTCCCGCCCCCTCCCGCCCCTCTCTTCCCCCTTGCCTTTCGCCTCGCTCGTCGCCATCCCTGGGGGGCTGCGATCTGCGAAACTGTCGCCACTTTCGAGGGTTGCTGGGGGGCCCAACACAGGCTGCACCCGCGGCGGACTCAAATGGGACCTCGCCATCCCTGGGGGGCTGCGATCTGTGACACTGTCGCCACTTTCGAGGCCTGCTGGGGGGCCCAGCACAGTGGGTACCCACCGCAGCTGGGGGCTGCGATCTGTGAAACTGTCGCCACTTTCGAGGGCTGCTGGGGGGCCCAGCACAGTCTGCACTCGCGGCGGATCAAATTAGACCTCGCCATCCCTGGGGGGGCTGCGATCTGTGGAACTGTCGCCACTTTCGAGGCCTGCTGGGGGGCCCAGCAACAGTCTGCACTCGCGGCGGATTCAGATTATCCCTCGCCATCTGTCGCCATTTCGAGGGCTGCTGGGGGGGCCAGCGGAGTGGCCCTACGGGGACTCAATTATACCTCGCCATCCCTGGGGGGCTGCGATCTGCGAAACTGTCGCCACTTTCGAGGGCCTGCTGGGGGGCCCAGCACAGTCTGCACCCGCGGCGGACTCAAATGGGACCTCGCCATCCCTGGGGGGCTGCGATCTGCGAAACTGTCGCCACTTTCGAGGGCTGCTGGGGAGGCCCAGCACAGTCTGCACCCGCGGCGGACTCAAATGGGACCTCGCCATCCCTGGGGGGCTGCGATCTGTGAAACTGTCGCCACTTTCGAGGGCTGCTGGGGGGCCCAGCACAGTGTGCACTCGCGGCGGATGACTCAAATGGGACCTCGCCATCCCTGGGGGGCTGCGATCTGTGAAACTGTCGCCACTTTCGAGGGCTGCTGGGGGCCCAGCACAGTGGGTACCCACGGCGGATTCAAATGGGACCTCGCCATCCCTGGGGGGCTGCGATCTGTGAAACTGTCGCCACTTTCGAGGCCTGCTGGGGGGCCCAGCACAGTGGGCACACGCGGCGGATTCAAAATGGACCTCGCCATCCCTGGGGGGCTGCGATCTGTGAAACTGTCGCCACTTTCGAGGCCTGCTTGCGGGGCCCAGCACAGTGACGCCTCCCAAGTAGCTTACACATCAAGTTGATAGTCCATACAGGTTTCGGCCAACTCCTCGTTTCCATTGATACAAATGGGTTGGGTACGTCACAGGGTAATTTTATTCGGCGTCTCGACATTGGGCGGAAGGGGGGGAGGGGAGGGGTCTAGCTCTGGACCTCTGCTTAGTGCGACTGTTTGCAGCAGTGCGTCCTATGAGGGGGGACTCCACCTGCTCGAAACAGGCGCCAAAAACAGCCAAGATCTACTCCATGGGGGGGGAGGGGGGGGGCGAGGGCCCGCGCCGATCGGCAAAACAACAAACAAGTGGCACGTGTGCCATGGCTCTTGCACAACAAGGAAGGAGGAGGAGAAGAGAATTCTGGGTACAGCCCTGAGATGTAGAGGGTCTGTGCACTTGCTGATGCAAGCAGGAATGTAATTTCGTAATGTCCCGGATCCCCAGTTTCTTGTTGCTGCTGCAACCAGAGTTGCAATTTCGTAATGACCCGGATCCCCGATGTCCTAAGCGTTTTGTGGCGCTCGTGTGTTACTTCGCGAGGGCGGAAAGAAGATGGGCGGGGCGGAAGGAAACCATACGGAGAAGAGTCCGCTGAGGCTGCGGGGAACACTGGGGGGAAGGGGCGAAAGGGGCGCGCCGGGGCAGGAAAGACATTGGCCGGGCACTGGGGCCGCGGGGCACTGGACGGGCGCTGGAACCGCGGGGGCGCTGAGACGGTGTCCGGGAAGGGGCGGAGCAGGGAGGGGCTGCGGTGCCGAAATAAAGTGGGCGGG